AACTTAATCCTCTATAATTTTTACAATCTCTTTTGTCCCCTTTCCCTTTATATAAAGGGACTATACATGCTCTCTGCCAGTCCCTAGGTACCTTCCCCTCTTTCATACATTTATTAAACAAAAATATCAACCACTCCAACACTATATCCCCCCCTGCTTTTAACATTTCTGTCATGATCCCATCAGTTCCAGCTGCTTTACCCCCTTTCATTCTACGTAATGCCTCACGTACCTCCCCCACACTTACATTCTGCTCTTCTTCACTCCTAAAAGATGGCATACCTCCCTGACCAGTGCATGAAATTACCACCTCTCTTTCTTCCTCAACATTTAAAAGTTCCTCAAAATATTCTCGCCATCTACCTAATACCTCCCTCTCCCCATCTACTAACTCCCCTACTCTGTTTTTAACTGACAAATCCATACTTTCCCTAGGCTTTCTTAACTTGTTTAACTCACTTCAAAATTTTTTCTTATTTTCATTAAAATTTCGTGACAGTGCCTCTCCCACTCTATCATCTGCTCTCCTTTTGCACTCTCTCACAACTCTCTTCACCTTCCTTTTACTTTCCATATACTCTGCTCTTCTTATAACACTTCTGCTTTGTAAAAACCTCTCATAAGCTACCTTTTTCTCTTTTATCACACCCTTTACTTCATCATTCCACCAATCACTCCTCTTTCCTCCTGCCCCCACCCTCCTATAACCACAAACTTCTGCCCCACATTCTAATACTGCATTTTTAAAACTATTCCAAACCTCTTCAACCCCCCCACTACTCATCTTTGCACTAGCCCACCTTTCTGCTAATAGTCGCTTATATCTCACCCGAACTTCCTCCTCCCTTAGTTTATACACTTTCACCTCCCTCTTACTTGTTGTTGCCACCTTCCTCTTTTCCCATCTACCTCTTACTCTAACTGTAGCTACAACTAAATAATGATCTGATATCAGTTGCCCCTCTATAAACATGTACATCCTGGAGCCTACCCATCAACCTTTTATCCACCAATACATAATCTAACAAACTACTTTCATTACGTGCTACATCATACCTTGTATATTTATTTATCCTCTTTTTCATAAAATATGTATTACTTATTACCAAATCTCTTTCTACACATAGCTCAATTAAAGGCTCCCCATTTACATTTACCCCTGTAATTGTTTTACACGATGGTAGGATTGCTGGTGTCTTTTTTTTTTCTGTCTCATACACATGCAAGATATTGGCAGTTTGGAGGGATATGTTGTGTATCTTTATATGTGTATGCTTCTAAACTGTTGTATTCTGAGCACCTCTGCAAAAACAGTGATAATGTGTGAGTGTGGTGGAAGTGTTGAATGGTGATGAAAGTATTTTCTTTTTGGGGATTTTCTTTCTCTTGTGGGTCACCCTGCCTCAGTGGAAGACGACCGACTTGTTGAAAGAAAAAAAAAAAAAAAACACATGCAAGATTTCAGGCACATCTTACTACTTCTACTTACACTCAGGTCACACTTCACATACATGTACAAGCATATATATAAACACCCCTCTGGGTTTTCTTCTATTTTCTTTCTAGTCTTTGTGTCTGTTTATTTCCTCTTATCTCCATGGGGAAGTGGAACAGAATTCTTCCTCCATAAGCCATGCGTGTTGTAAGAGGCGACTAAAATGCCAGGAGCAAGGGGCTAGTAACCCCTTCTCCTGTATATATTACTAAATGTAAAAGGAGAAAGTTTCGTTTTTCCTTTTGGACCACCCCGCCCCAGTGGGATACAGCCGATGTGTTGAAAGAAAGACTGTAAAACCCTAGGAAGTAGGTTGGTAGAGAGCAACTGCCCAGGGAGGTACTACCGTCCTGCCAAGTGAGTGTAAAACAGAAGCCTGTAATTGTTTTACACGATGGTAGGATTTTTTTTCTGTCTCATACACATGCAAGATTTCAGGTACGTCTTGCTACTTCTACTTACACTTAGGTCACACTACACATACATGTACAAGCGTATATATACACGCCCCTCTGGGTTTTCTTCTATTTTCTTTCTAGTTCTTGTTCTTGTTTATTTCCTCTTACCTTCATGGGAAAGTGGAACAGAATTCTTCCTACGTAAGCCATGCGTGTTGTAAGAAGGGACTAAAATGCCGGGAGCAAGGGGCTAGTAACCCTTTCTCCTGTATAAATTACTTATTTAGAAAGAGAAACTTTCATTTTTCTTTTTGGGCCACCCTGCCTTGGTGGGATATGGTCAGTTTGTTGGGAAAAAAAAAAAAAGATTGTAAAACAGTTAACCACTACTTCTTGTCTAGCTTTAAGTATAGTTACTATGTACTTATTATCTTCTCTAGTTTTTAATTAGTTACTATGTATTAGGATAAGTCTGCCCAAAATGCCCTGGCATGATAGTGGCTATCTTTGTACTCAGCAAATCAAAATTGTAATTACACATTGTAACTTTTACAAAGAAATAAACTTTATCTTATCTTATCTAACCAACAGGTTTACTAGCCACTCACTGAGGCAGAGACAAGCAGATGGAAAGACACACTGGTAGATATAAAGACAGATAAGCAGAACTAGACAGATAGACAGACAGTCAGACAGATACAGATAGACTGACAGACAGACACAGAGGCATGTTTTTGTGCAACAGTAAAAACATATAAAGCCAAGGTTCATTGCAGCAGCGTACATTCATCAAATGTCACTGGCTGTCACTTGTTATCTGATGCTTGTGATAACACCATTCTACAAAGAGTTTCATATTATACTCCAGGTACACATAGAAGACAAAAAGACAGATAAACAGAGCTAGACAGACAGATAAGCAGAGCTAAACAGACAGACAGATAGATTGACAGACATACATACAGTGACACGTTTGTGTTCAACAATAAGAACATATAAAGCCAAGGTTTCCTTCAGCAGCGCACATTCATCAAATGTCACTGGCTGACACTTTTTATCTGACGCTTGTCATAACACCATTCTTCAAGGAATTTCGTACTCCAGCCTGTCTAAAACATTGCTGGGAACTATAAATACATTGTATATATTTCTAGACAATAGTAAATGACCAAGGCAGATGAAAATGTTCACCTGTCAGTGTGATTGTTACTATTTGAGTACTATTTCAGTACATAATATTAGTGTCAGAATGAAGATTGGATATGAAATCACAAGAACGATTATAAATTGTAATTATCATAACATAAAAATTACATAAACCGGTTATTTTCATATAGTCGGACTTGAGTCCTGGAAATGGGAAGTACAATGCATGCACTTTAAAGGAGGGGTTTGGGATATTGGCAGTTTGGAGGGATATGTTGTGTATCTTTATATGTGTATGCTTCTAAACTGTTGTATTCTGAGCGCCTCTGCAAAAACAGTGATAATGTGTGAGTGTGGTGAAAGTGTTGAATGATAAAAGTATTTTCTTTTTGGGGATTTTCTTTCTTTTTTGGGTCACCCTACCTCGGTGGGAGATGGCCGACTTGTTGAAAAAAAATAAAATAAAATAAAAACGAGAAAAAAAGGTAAATCGGCAACACTTCTACAAGCGGCACGAGTGGATGTTGCCATCAGGTGAGCATCCAGAGCCAACTTCGCAGTCTTATATCTCAGCAAGTACTGGTCCTAAGATTTCTTTTTGGTCTTATACCACACAGAAAATTGCCCACTTTAATTTAAAAACAAAAAACAATTTTTTTATTTCACAAAATATTCGGAACGCCATGCAGGTGAACGCAGATCTACGTTTGGACAGTTTAAGCAACTAGGAAGGTTAGCACGAGTCCCACTGCAACCACAATCAAGGCTTTCAGCACTTGCTTGCCACAAATTTGAACCCCACTCTGTTCAGTGAGTAATGGAATATTTCGTTTAATTTTTTTTTTTTTTTTTCAAATTATTCAGTGCTAGCAATGAAAACATAGATCTAGCTTTGTACAGTTTAAGGGTTAAACCTAGTTGTGAGCACACTAAGGCAAGGTGTTAGCAGTGAGGGTTAAAACTTTATTTTTCTCTTTTTAAATTTAGTAATGTATACAAGAGAAGGGGGCCACTAGCCTCTTGTTTCCAGCATTTTAGTTGCCTCTTATGACACACGTTTTACAGTGGAAGAATTTGGTTCAACATCCCCACAGAGAATGTTACTAATACTTTACAAATTATAGTTCATAACAATTTAAAAAAAAGAATTGAACCCAAACTATATCTCAATAATTACTACTGATATAATGTGAAAGTTAATTACCAGGTGAAACAAAAGATATATAATACATAATCTTCATAACAATTATCATTATGACTCACAAAATCGTAATGACACGATTGCAAACAAACCATACCACGGGCAGGGATAGAACCCGCGATTAGAGAGTCTCAAAACTCCAGACCGTCACGTTAGCCACTGGACCAGCTAGCCACAATAAGATTCATCCAACTAGGTATATTTCTACACCATAGGAAGGTTAGCATAGGCACCACTGTGACCACAAATGTGGTCAACACTTGCATTTGTGGTCACAGTGGTGCCTATGCTAACCTTCCTATGGTGTAGAAATATACCTAGTCGGATGAATCTTATTGTGGCTAGCTGGTCCAGTGGCTAACGTGATGGTCTGGAGTTTTGAGACTCTCTGATCGCGGGTTCTATCCCCGCCTGTGGTATGGTTTAATTATCATTACCAATGTGAAGTGTAAACCAGTCGTGATTATGCAATGCCTGAGGAATCGAAGGTCATCATATATAACCCAAAGAAGAGGGTTCGTCAAGTTACATATATCAAAAGGTCTTAACCAACATCAATGCACCCCAATTGTAGGAATAATCTGAGAAATGGATATGGACCTCTACTCCAAGCTAAAACTCTTGCTAATGAATCAATGTTTAGTGGAGAATACATTACAGTGATATGAAATACATAGAAGTGATTGAGAGCAAGTCACTGTGCCTGGGAAATGTATAGAATACAACAGTAATTACACGCAGCAGGAATTATTATTCTTACCTTCATGACCGTAGCTACACAGATAGCTGACAAGTTGAGAGGGTCTATAGCTTCCAGCTTCATTCCTTCACAGAAGACCAACTTAGAGTTGCGGAAATATATAGGAATAGGAGCAATGGCAAAGAGTTCTGGCGGTGCATCATTTGGATCGTAGGTTCCACTGATGCACTTCTCATGATATGACTGACTGGCAACTATCTCATGTCCGACTTCTCGAGACCATCCCACCGGGTGAATTATTGGAGCATCTTCATGACACCAAAATCCTAGGGAACACTTTTAATATTAGAATTTAAGTATATCACAGAATTTTAAAAAATTAATAGGATACAAAGTGTAGTTACAATACAGCCTCTCCTCACTTAGCGATGTACTTGTTTACTGACACCTTGGACTTACGACGGGCTCTCCGACCAGTATTCATACCTAAATAATGTATATTTGAACTGATTTCCTCTATTCTGTTTATTTCAATATACAATACACTACAGTATCAACATTCAAAAATATACCAGAAATGTAATAAATGGTACAAAGGTTACATTAAAACATTACCAAAGATGGTTGACACAAACTCACTACCATTATAGTATGCACCTCACTTAAAAACATAAGAACATAAGAAAGATGGAACACTGCAACAGGCCTACTGACCCATGCGAAGCAAGTCCATGTCACCATCTGGCTTAGACCAATGACCCACCTAGTCAGGTCACTTCCACTTAACCTTTGAACTGTCCAAACTTACATCTACGTTTTCGTGCGTAGTTCTCCGACCTTGATTTTCTCCATAAGAAAGCATGTAAAAAAAAAAGTAGATCTACGTTCAGAGCCCAACGCGAGCGAACGTTTGGACAGTTTAACGGTTAAGGAAGGAGGACATCAGACCTAGTAGCACAAGCAAGTCAGGTCCAACTCACACCTACCCACACCCACTCATGTATTTATCTAATCAATTTTTGAAACTACACGTTTTAGCCTCTATAACTGTACTCGGAAGTTTGTTCCACTCATCCACAGCTCTATTACCAAACCAGTGTTTTCCTATATCATTCCAGAATCTAAAGTTTTCCAACTTGAAACCACTGCTGCAAGTCCTGTCTTGGCTAGATATTTTTAATATGCTATTTATGTACATCCCTTTATTTATTCCTGTTTTCTATTTATACATCTCAAGCATATCCCCCCCTAATTCTATGCCTTTCTAGAGTGCAGATTCAGAGCCCTCAGTCTATCCTCATAGGGAAGATTTCTGATACATGGGATCAACTTTGCCATCCTCCTTTGTACATCTTCCAGTGCATTAATATCCATTCTGTAATACGGTGACCAGAACTGTACAGCATAATCTAAATGATGCCTAATTAAGGATATATATAGTTGAAGAACAAACTGAGGACTTCTATGATTTATACTTCTAAATATGAAACCAAGGATTCTGTCAGCTTTACTGCAAACACTAATGCACTGTTGCCTTGGTTTTAGATTATTGCTAACCAGAACTCCTAAATCCTTTTTGCAATCAGTAGTATTAAAATCTACATTATTTAGTTTATATGTGGCATAGTTATTTTCCTGTCCAACATTCAGAACTTTCCATTTGTCTATATTAAACTGCATCTGCCACTTCTCTGACCATTGCGTCAGTCTATTCAAATCACCCTGGAGTGCTCTAGTGTCCTCATTAGAATGAATTGAATGACCTATTTTGGTGTCATCAGCAAATTTGTTTATATCGCTATTTATTCCCTCATCTACGTTGTTTATGTAAATTGTGAACAACAAAGAGCCCAACACTGACCCCTGCAGAACACCGCTTGTGACGTGCCTCCATTCTGATTTCTCCCTGTTTATGCAAACTCTCTGCTGCCTATTTGTCAACCATGCCTCTACCCAGGAAAATATTTCTCCCCCTATTCTGTGCGCCTTAAGTTTCCTCAATAGCCTCTAATGTGGAACTATTGAAAGCCTTACTGAAGTCCATATACACAATATCATATTCATTACCATGATCTACCTCCTCAAACACCTTAGTGAAAAAAATTAGTAAATTCATAAGACAGGAATGCCCCTAAGTAAAACTGTGCTGAGATTCATTAATCAATTTAACCCTATCAAGATGGCTATGAATTGCTTCGGCAATTATTGATTCCATAAATTTTCCCACTATGGAGGTAAGGCTTATTGGCCCATAGTTCGAAGCTAAGGACTTGTCACCTGCCTTGTAAATAGGTATTACATTTGCCATTTTCCACTTATCAGGCACTATGCCAGCTTGTGGTGATATGTTAAAAAGATTAGCCAAAGGTATGCTAAGGTCCTCTTTACAATCCTGTAACACCCTTGCAAATAGTTTATCAGAGCCAGGGTATTTGTTAGGTTTTAGTTTCTCTGTTTGTCTGAGGACCATGTCACTAGTTACAGCAATCGTGCATAGTTTATCATCATCCTGTTCTACATAATCTATTATTTCAGGAATTTTGCCATACAGTATTTTCCTGGGTAAAAACTGAGAGGAAGTAAGTAATGAAAACTTCACACATATTCTCATCATTGTTAGTGATCTGACTTGAATTACTCTTAAGTGGGCCTATCTTGTCCCTAATCTCACTTCTGTATACCTGAAAGAACCCTTTTGGGTTAGTCTTCGAAACCCTTGCGACCTTAGCCTCATAATCTCTTTTTGCTTTTCTTATTCCTTTTTTTGTTTCTCTCTTTAACTGAATATATTGATTTCTTAACTGTCCATCCTTTCTTTTGATATGCCTCTTTTGACCAATGAGATGTTTTAATCTACTGTTCATCCATTTGGGATCATTTCTGTAAGATCTAATTTCCCTACTCGGAACAAAAGTTATCTGGGCAGATAGAACTATGCTCTGAAAAATGTCATATTGGCAACCAAGACCACCCATCCCAATTTAGCCCACCCAGGTAATTTCTCAGTCTCTTGAAATGGCCAAGCGAAAGTCTGGGACAGAGATTTGATTGCAGTTATCTGGGTAATTCCCATGATATATTGAAACAAAGTGATTTGTGATCACTTTCACCAAGTTCATCATTAACCTCAAGATTATTAATTAGTGATTCTTTGTTGGCAAGAGCCAAGTCAAGCAGATTGTTTCCTCTAGTTGGTTCTGCCACAAACTGTTTTAACCCTTTGAGGATAGCCAGGCCCTCCCAGAGACTTGTTCTCAGGGTCACCAAAATTTCAAAAAAAAAAAAAAAAAAAAATTATTTTTTCTTATAAAAAGATAGAGAATCTTTTCCCGATCATAATGACACCAAAAGTATAAAATTTGATGGAAAACTTACGGAATTATGCTCTCGTGAAGTTAGCAGTCGCGACGATGTTCACACATCGGCGATTTTGCCCACTTTGAGCCCTATTTTCGGCCAATTCCAGTGTACTAATCGACAAAAATCATAACTATTTCGCTAGAACTCCATTTTTTTCTATCGAATGAGTACAAGAAACCACCCATTTACCAATTTAAACTATCCAATAAAGTGGTCAGAATTTAGCAATTTTGCCAATTTCACACAAATTTCAAAAGATGCCAATTTCCAAATAGGGTCCAGAATAAACAAGAAAGACATTCCTGGCACTAAAATAACATTTCCTCTGTTCATTAGTCACATCCCCAGGCCCCACTTACATTTCTTTTGCTTTCCACTTTGAATTTTTATTCTAAAAAAAAAAAAAATAGAAGATTTACTGTTATGCAGACTACTGTATTAGCGTAGAAATGGTATAAATAATACCAGCGCACTTGTGAAAGAATATTAGATTCACCAGTTGACGTGTATTAGATGCGTGGCATTATTTGTTTACTTTTGAACTTCGGCAAAAATTGAACATTTCTGCTACTTTGAGCTCAATTTCAAGGTACTTTTCATTGTGAAACCAATCAAAATCATCTCAATTTCTGTAATATGTCTTCCATTCTATAAAATAAGACCAGGAAAACTAGAATACAACCATAAATACTACACGAAAATACAGTGCATAGTCGGTTTTAAACCAAAAACATGGTCAAAGTTTTTTTTTTCTCATTACACACTGTGTGCTGCAGGATTTTTTTATATTGCACACACTGACCATATAGACCCATTCTTTCATATGTAGGCCTACCAGCTTTCTCTTGCTAGATCTGAGGGCGCTATTATTTATGCGTACTAGTACATCCAAAAACCCTGGCGCCTAAGCCGTACTAGTACGGCCGAAACCCCGAAAGGGTTAAAAAGCAATCCGGAACCATATCAATAAAGTCACTAGACTCAAGATTTCCTGTCACACTGTTCTAATCAATTTGTTTAATAGTTAAAATCTCCTATTAACACAACATTTTCATATACAGACGCCTTATGGATATCGTCCCATAACAGTTTACTGCACTCCCTATCAAGGTTTGGGAGCATATAAATCACACCCAGAATTAATTTGTCATGACCCTCGAGAAATTGAAGCCAAACAGATTCTGTGTCCAATGTTTCTAATCTTGTATCACGTCTAAGACAACAATTTAAATTATCTCTGAAATACATCGCCACTCCACCACTTTTCCTTTTGACCCTATCAGTGTGGAATAGTTTATAACCCAGTATGTTGCATGCAGAAGGCATTTCTCTATCCTTCAGGTTGAACCATGTCTCTGTTATAGCAATAATATCTACATTATCTGCACTTGCAAGTACAGTGGACCCCCGCATAACGATATTAATCCGCTCCTGAGAGCTCATTGTTATGCGAAATTATCGTTATGCGAATGAATTTTCCCCATAAGAAATAATGGAAATTAAATTAATCCGTGCAAGACACCCCAAAGTAGGAAAAAAAAAATTTTAAACCCCATGAAATAACAGAATGACTTAAAGGTGTATCAGTCTGTAGGGAAGGAGGGGGGGGTGGGGGTCGGCCTGGAAAGGGGTTGGAGGGGGGGGTAAAGGGGGTTTTGTGGCGAGGGGCTTGGACTTCCGCGGGGCTGCGGAGGGTTTTTGATAGGAGTGAATGGAGACAAATGGTTTTAATACTTGATGGCTGTTGGAAAGTGTACAAAGTAACATTTATGAAGGTTTCAGGGAAACCGGGGGCCGACTTGAGTCCTGGAGAGGGGAATACATCCTGCATCTGAAGGAGGGTTTAAATTTTTGCAGTTTAAAAACTGTAGTGTAAACCCCTTTTGGCAAGACGGATGGAGTAATGATGGTAAAAGTTTTTTTTTTTCGGGCCACCCTGCCTTGGGGGAATCGGCGTTGTGATAAT